GAATCATGACTGTTGTATATTTTGGACAACTGTAATTATTTGTCTAAACCATGTCGAATGTTGCTAATTGAGAGTTTCTTCTTCACTTCTTGGTCCCGGTAATTTGTGTCATTAATGATAAGCATTTTTTCACTCTTAAAGCCATTTTGTTCACTAAATGAAAGGAAATAAGACACCACTAGAAATCCCGGCTAACTCGCATTCGTAGTCACAAAATGATCACCTAGATTCAATCTGATATACGTTCGCTCTCGCTGTTCTTATCTTTTTGAGTGGTATCGTGAAACCTAATCATTTGGCGTGTTGTATGCTAACTTCTGTAGCTATGTTATTTATTTCCTTGTTTTATCGTCATTCGTTTTCAAAATATGCGAAACTTTAATAGACAGAAATAGCTCTGTGTTTCATGCCTAACTTTACTACCAGTCATTACAATTTTTCGTTTGATCGACCTTTTTACTATGTATAGAACTTGTAATGACCTCTCCGTCACGCGTTATGGGGTGTAATTTAAATTGTAGCAAAGGTATACGATACGTTTCCTTTTCAGCGCATTGTTGACAATAGGCTTGACCGAAATAATCCTAGATACTAACACCTTGATCATGTTTCCTTGTTTCTGCGAAAGCGTTTTAGTACAAAGCGCTGACACGCTCACGGCAAATTTTCAGAGGAAATTTAGATATATTGCTGGTTCAGCTGTAACCTGCTTTTTTGCATCTTTGAGCATTTTGAGAAGTTTGAAGACTCCACTTTTGTAGAAGCGACGAAGCTCAATCAATGAATCAAAACATCGGATGACGCACTTCAGAAGGCAATTGGCACTCAAGGTAATGCATATTAAATATGATAACATTCTTGGTAATATTTTCTCTCGGAGTTGACTCAGGTGAGTCTGAGGAAATGTGAAAGTTGTAGGGGATATTACATAATTGAGCTTGGACTACTTAAGGCCAAGTAAAATTCCTAGTCATTAGGTTGTTTTTAAATTCCTTCGTCTATCCATAAATCTCGCAGACGCACTCCTCTGCACTGCCTTCTTATGTGTTGTGCCTAATTTTGGCTTTTCTCCTTTTGAGTGTCTGACAAAAAGTCTCCTACAGACCTTGATGTAATAGCATAAATGACAACAATAATCCAAGCCATCTAATTTAGTGCCTTCGTTTATTACATTTATTTACGAAATGTTAACTCCTTTTGAAGTTAACTAAATTTTTTCTAAGGTATAAAAGCAAGAGAGTCCTTATTTCATTCAAAATACTGAAAAACAAAATGAACTCAGTAAATTCTCTATTTTCAAAGGTGCTGACAAGAATTTCCATGGTGCTTCACCTTGGATCCATTACAATATGATATTCAAACTCAGGTGAAATAATGAGCTAATTAATTAATGACTAAAATAAGTTAAATTGCAGTGCTGTTCCTTTCAAAATACAATCTAAAAATAGAAGGCAAGTTTGAAATAAATCCTTATGTAGCCATTTTAACATAGTGGCTTATGATTCAATTGGGTTTCATATTTCTTGGGAGCAACTAACTTAAAAGCCAATTTTGTAACATCTAAGAAGCCCGACATGTCAGTGACACGGAATATGTGGTCTTTACGATCTGGCGAAGCTACTTCCACTATTTCACTGATTCCACTATTGTAATTCCCGACAGCAACGACAAAAATATCCACACCACTGGCTCTCAGCAAGTTAGCATTTGGTATGGTCTTCGAGGAATCAACGTTTGAATGGCCATCGGTGATAAGAAAGGCAATCTTGACAACACCCGGACGTTTTCCTTTGAAAAAGATTAATGAATACAGTAAGTGGGTTTTGCAGTAAGCGTATCTCAAGATTATATTTGTCCACTAAAAATCCTAGTCATCCAAGCTCAAAGGGTGAGCGACTTTGAATTCCTCTTTTCAGTACCACCCTCGAATCAAATTTAGAGGTCGCGAGAATAAAGAGAAATGATCACCAATTTAAGAAGCTCCACTCTCAAACAAGTTATCCCTCTTGAACAAAAACTCATCTTTCAAACCGGCAGTCTAAATCCCACAGGGATCAACGAACGCTTTTCATTCCACTAATTTCTTCATGTTTTTCTCGTTGCCATGTTCCCACCAATAACGTAGCTCCATTTTCTGCCTTTAAAAGCACACAAAACCCACAATTCCTCTATTCGCTCCGGTGGCCAATTTACCATTTCAACTTTGTTGATATATCCAAATTATCCCTCTTGGTACCCGGCATTGGAAGGGTAAAGAAATTGGTGCGAAGGATATGAATACATCATTAAAATTTATTTGGAGACAAGATGCAAGTTTGTTTACTTTTATGGTCTGGATCTTTTAAACGTTGTCTCTTTCATTTCGTTTGTATTTGTAAGTGTCCTAAGAGAAACTGTCTAGAACTAAACTGTGTGACTTGTGACGAAAACAAAACATGTTTAGAAGCTGATACCTTGCTATTTACTTGAACATAAGACCGGGAACAACACTAGTTGAAACACAACAGTAAAGTATCAGACAAGTTCTCATTCCTGTTTTTTTTTTTTTTTTTTTACTGTTTTGGTCTAGATATTTTCAACGTTGTCACTTTCTTTTCAGTTGCATTTGTAAGTGTCCTAAGAGTAATTCTCTGGACCTACACACTGTGTAACTTGTGACGAAAACGAAGCACGCCGCATGAACGAGCGGAATTCCAAATACAGTTTTGAGGAGTAACAAACCCTAACACCTGTGAACCTGTTTTATTTTTGAGTTTAAAACTAACACCAAAACTAAACAATGTTAATATTCCCTGTTTAAAATTAAAACTTCCGATGGAAAGTAAATTTGTACATACCTGAAGAGGGATCTTCAAAAACTCTTTTTGCTTCTGCCAACGCAGCCTGAGTATTAGTTGATCCTGGAATATAGGGAAGTTTCTTTATGTTAATTCCTGCGTCCGGATTAGCAACGAAATTGAAATCTGTCGTGGCAGTACTCGCAAATGTCACTGCCGCATATCTGTCCTCAAATCCTACTTCTGACGCAGTGTCAAGCATGTTCTTCAAGGCTTGCTTTGCTTTTTTGTAGTTGCAGTCCCCAATCGAGCCTGAACGATCTATAATCACCACGATTTCTTCCTGAATGACCTGCCTCTTGCTCCGTCCAATCTGAGACAAGTACGAGAGGGGTATGCGAAAGAAATTGGTCACCAGTTTCGTCGCGGTCTCATTTTTAGTCGGTACATGTTGAATTTTAGGAAGGAAGGAAGAACAAAAAAGATACAAGTCCCTGCAACCGCACAATCTGGCCGCCATTTTCCTTGTTTTGACGTCTCCTTTGGCTTTCTGGGATAGTAAAGTACCAGGCCTTTCTCTGACGGGGTTTTACGAAAATAGAAAGTTACGCGTTCACTTCACTTCCACCGCCGCCATATTGAATTCTCTGTAATACGATATACCGCTGATATTTCGAAACGGGCTCGAAATGGCCCCGATTTCTGGTGCTGCTCACTGCCACCTAATCTTTACACAGTCGAAACACGTTCACGTGTACTAAATTGAATTGAAATCCTAAGCAACGTCAAATTTCACCGTATTTTTACAAAGTATATATAGGGGGGAAGCTATCCTTTCGCCCATCAAACGCATTGAGGTCATAGAGAACTTTTAGTTGTACCCAGATATGGTTATGTACTCGATTAAGATTCTGGGAGCACCTAAACCAGTGTTTTCTAACGTAGAGAAACCCGAATCGGCTGGGGTTATTTCGTTATAAAAATGGGTTTCTTTATCTAGATGCATCTAGTGCATCTAGATGCAGCGGTCTTTCAACGCCAGTTAAAACAAGGAGTTCGCCCTCTCTCAGTTGATCCATTCTTGATGTCAAATCTCGTTCTCGTGATGGTTTTAGCTGATGAAGTCCACATCTCAAGAGCTTTACTAAAATACTGGGATTTATGAAATGTCAATTTCCCAATTTGATTATAAGTTACGGAGACATAGCGATAAAATCAATTGACCGAAGTACATTTACACTTACACTGATAATATTGTTAGTCACGTTTTGGAGCTGGTCTGAACCAAAATGGGTTCCTGCCAAGACATTGACCAGTTAGAAAGGCAAGGATGACGATCACAGTTAATCGGTAAAACACCGGAGCCATTGTTGGAATAGTTTCTCGCGAAGAGATTAGCCTCAATTGTCTGAAGAGATCTGTGTTCTTTGAAGACTTAGCTGGTTGTCACGGCTTGGCTGATTTTATAGTCAGAAAGCAATCCCTGTACGTGTATTCCTTCTTTGCAAAGCATGTGGCTGAGGGCGAAAATGTAGCAAAAGCTGTGGCGGGAAGGCTGAGGTTTGCGTCACGTGAAAGCCTGTAGCTTTATTTAGTACGCAGTCGTTGTTAACGTTGCGCTGAAGTTGATTTAGGGAAGTCATATAAAAAGGAATTTGAAAGAACAACGGATATTACCTGACCACCAAATTTCTTATCTACAAAACCATTCAAAGATAGTATTTCTAGTTCTCGTACATTGTGTTTCGATAAAAATTCATTTCACGGTTCAAGCACTGCTCTTCCACAAAATGTCCTAATTTTTCACGGCTACACCGCTTTTTCCGGATAGGCCCACCATTACCTACATTTCCATATTGATGCCAAACTATTTTTGTAAAAGCTCCACCTAGACAGGAAAGCTAGACTGTAGCCTGTCTCTCTGTCACGTTCGATCTTTAAGGCGCAAACTCGATCCGTTTTTCGAAAAAGAAGATATCCCCTCTTGTACCTCCCCCCTGCATTTCGTTGGTTAAATCTTTCAAATAGAAGTTCAATGACCGCGCTAAGTGAAGTATATGAATTTGGTTTAAAATGTACAGACGCGCAGGTTTTACAACCTACATGAGAAGGTGTGGAACTCTTCCATACTTCCTTTGTTAAGCAATGCCCTTGCTGCGTGACTAATTTTTTAGCTTCTTTGACCTTCAGCAACAGGGAACCCCAATTTAGAATATGACCAAGATAGATGACAATGTCATCATAATCCGACGGAGGCGAACAGAACGTTGCCGAAATTTAGCTTTTCATACTTTTTTAGCATTTTTAGGTCAGATCCAACATTTTAAAGTTTTTATCAAGAAGACTAACCGCCTAAGCAGTATGTAAGATATATGAGTCGTAACGTAATCTGATTGTTTTTCTGTAATTAGATCAAGATATCGTTTAAACTAAGATTTATCTCAAGCGAAAAACAACCTAACTGACACGTAACCAGAGAAGATAACCATCATGGTGCTGAAGGTTAGAACGCATTACACTCCAAAGCAACCCATATCAAGTGTTGTCCTTACCGATCGGTAGAAGACTAAGGGAAACGTAAATGACAAAGATTTCTCAGAACGAGGACTTTTGAATGTTTTTAAAAGGCGGATCATTACTTGAGGTAAAAATAAAAGCAAATAGATAGTATTTCTAGTACTCGAAAATTATGTTTAAACAAAACTGTAGATTTCGGTTAAATCCGCGTTCTTCGACGAAATGTAAGCAAAACTCTAATTAAGGAGCCTGCCGTGACTCCCAATTTTATAATTCAGCTTGGTAAACAAGGAAAAAGTTACTTTCAAGATGACTAGACAGGGAAGCCAGTCAGTATCCTGTCTTTTTGTCACGTGCGATCTTTAACCACATCCTTGACTCGTTTCCCCGAAAAGAATCTGGCTAAAAAAACAATCATGCTCATACTTCCTGCGTGAATTTCTTTGGTTAAATTGTTCAATATGAAGCTAAACGACCGAAAACAATGAAGTTTCCGAATTTAACTTGAAAAGTGCGGGCGGTTTTCACAGCCTGTATAAAAGTTTGAAACTTTTCCAAATGCGGTTTTGTTAATGTCTCGTAGCCAAAAAGTTTTTTTTTTAGCTATTTTGACCTTCAGCGACGGGGAAGCTTGTTTGGTCCATGAATAAGATATATGAGTTATGTTGTAATTTGATGGTTTCACTGTAATTTGATCAAAATGTCGTTTAATTAAGATTTGATCTTTAACGACCGTGAACAGCCGACACGCAACTCGGGAAATTATCTGTCCGTGGTACTGAAGGTTACCGTGACGTCGGATGAACGCTTTAGACTGCACATTAACACATATCCCGTATAACTGGTACCGATCGAAGGAAGACTAAGAGAAGAAAAAGGAAAAGCAAACAAACAAAAAAATACCTTATTATAGGAAATTAACAATGCATGTAATTAACGTGAATTTCAAAAATTCGCGTTAATTTTATTTTATCTTAAATTACCTCATTGTTAATTGAAATGACGTTAATTAAAAGTATCGTTATTTAAAGACACCTTTATTATAAGCAAAGCCACAATTCCTCTACGTCACCGTCAGAGTCGGTTGACGCATCATCCTTTAATATTAAGTTCAAAATGTCCTTAGATTCATCAGTGTAGCGATCGTCTTCTCTGAGGGGATAACTCACTTCTTCAACTTTCTTGCGCAAAATGTCTATCGCATTTTTGTCATCTCATTTCATTTCTTATGTTTTTTACCGGAAATAGAGAGCAAATTTTGTTG